ATTACTGCAGTTATTCAAGAAAGAACTGATCTACCTGAATCAAAGTAGAACAGAGAATAATGGAGAGAAAATTAAATAAAACTAAAAAAACTCAAAGAGTTGTGTCTGATGGAATGAAAGGAATGAGGCGCTACAGGTTGAAAATGAAGTGTTGTGATTTTAAAAAAATAGGATATGGGATACAAGATGGAGAACACTTTTAGAGAAAAGAAAAAATTAATTTGGTTCTAGATGTATTAAAGTTTTAGATACCTTTGTTGTTGTTGTTATGTGCCGTCGAGTCAGATCCGATTCATAGAGACCCCTCCTTGGGTTTCTGAGGCAGTATCACTACGGAAGTAGATTGTCCGATCTTCCTTCCGAGGAGTGGCTGGTGGGTTTGAACCGCCAGCCTTCTGGTTAGCAGTCAAGTGCCTTAGGCACTATGCTACCAGAGCTCCCTTTAGGGAACTCAAAATGGACATTTAAAATGTATATATTGCTGCTTCTTGGATTTCTCACCTAATTAACTTAAACTAATCCTACAGAGCAGTTAGCACTTCTTCAGGCAAGCCTTGGCTGGACATCCAAGACTAGATAAGGAACACTTCCTACATGTTTCCACAGCACATAAGGGGTTTTCTATCAAAAACTATCATGTTGTAATATAAACACATCACAATGTGCTACCATATACCTCAGTAACACTCACAACCTAGAAGTTTACTGGAAGTGATCATCTTTTATATTTTATCCATCACCTTTATAGTGACCTGCATTTATAATTAAAGTCAATAAATATTTGTTGAGTGAAGTGAATGAACTACCTCCTGTCAAATCTTCCTTTACATGTTGAGTGAGCAAGTCAATATCATATATAAAAGTTCCCCACTCTCCCAGGACCAAGAATTTTTGAGAGGTCATTTCCTCTATTCTCCTTTGTAAAATGGCTCAGAATTTATAGCTGTAGAGTTAAGAAATAAAAAATTAAATTCTTCTCATGAGAATATGAATAAAGAGCCTTTTTTTCCTCACAGTATTAATGTGTACACTATACCATTACATGGACCTTAGACTAAGAATCAAGGAGCTATGATAGTGTAGTGCCTAAGGCATTTGATTGCTGACCAGAAGGTTAGTGGTTCAAATTCACTAGCCACTCCAAGGAAGGAAGACTGGGCAATCTACTTCCATAAAGATTTACTGCCTCGGAAACCCAAAGACAGTCACTATGAGTCGGAATCAACTTGATGCCAGTAAGTTTTTTGTTTTTTTTTTTTTGGGGGGGGGTGGTACACTAAGAATCATAAGGAAAAAGATTATTTAGATAAACAAAAAGCTATCAAAACATTCAGAGTCATAATTAATATACTCTAAGAAAATGTATTACATTAGCTTAGCCATCCTGAAAGCACGGGTATTACTTACCAAAGAAATAAATTTAAACATCCTCACTTTGAAAAGGATCAGATGAAATAAAAACTTTGCTTTAGCATTTTTACAATCTCTATAGCCAAATCACTATAGCCTAAGGGATAAAATGAATCTCCATTAAAGGCATGCTTTATAAAAACTGATATGATAGGCTTCTTCTCTAAAAAGTGTTACTAGAGCCATATTATGCTTAGAAAATTACACACAAAAATGTCAAGAAATACAGTTAAGGTTGAAGCTCTGCTTAATTTCATTCCCTAAGGTAAATGTATTAGTGCATCTGTACAAGAAGGTTGATAATTCAATATTCTCTATGTACTTTCTGACATTTCTGGTCTTCATTTTTCAAATTTATGCACCAAAATAAAGAATGTGTCTAGCATCTATGATAGCTTCCTGCCTAAAGCAAAGTATTTACATGTGTCCTTATAAAGCTATCAGAAAGAAGTTCTTGCTGATGTACACAAAATGGTACAGCAATAGAAATATTTTATGGAGCAAACAATTATTTTCTGAATATCCCTAAGACATATAATTTCTGAAAACGGAGACAACTAACCTTGAACAAGGTCTTTCTTCTATTTACATTTAAAGCTTAGAATTTTTAAAGTGTTGAGAAAGTGATCATGCTTGACACCTACAAATGATAATAAGAGCAAATGTGTACTAGCTGTGATACATCCAAATTAAGAACTTAAAAGCCCAAACTTTCCCATGAAGCTTGTACATACTTACTAAGCTTAGAATACAAGGATGGCTGGGTGAAGGACCCCTCATCCAAACTTCCCCACAACTTGAACAACACGTATATCAATCAGTTATAAGATTCCCTGTATGATACTTAATTGAAATGATTCATTAATTTGTTTCCCACTAAACTAAGTCCTTTAGAATAATGACAATATTACAATCATAGCAATAATCCAACCCCTGCCTCCAGCCTAAAGCCTGGGATATAATAACCTCTCAATAAATGTTTGGTGAACACATCTTAGGACTTCTTAGAACAGGGTATTGACAATGTTTTTTATAAATTACACCTAACAACAGAGTACTCCAAGAGCTATGTACTTTTGTGATTGTAGCTGGTCTGCGATTTTATAAGTTACTTAACTTCTCTGTGCCTCAATTCCTCATCCATAAATGTAAAGATACACTCAGGATCTGGTATATAAACAACTGGTGAGTGTTACAGAGGTATGTGATAACAATGCAATGCAATGCACTGCCATCAAGTCTGATCCAACTCATAGCGAACTCTCCTTGGGATTCCAAGGCAGTATCACTACAGAAGTAGATTGCCCAACCTTCACATTGTGATATATGTATATTAATTACAGTGTCATAATTTCTATAATTAAAAAAACCCATCTACTCTTGGGTGGCCAAGGAAAGATTGCCCATGGCAGTGATATCTAATATGAGCTCTGGAGGATCAGTACAACTGAACAAGATGAGAGTTGAGAATGCCTACTGTGGGAGTTAAGGTTATGTGTCAACTTGGCTGGACCAAGACTTTGACTAGCTTGGTAGATGGATGTATTTATTCCTGAAGATGAGATTGAACCTGGGGATAATCAAGTTCATGGTGGAATCTGCTGTGAGCAGTTAAACAGTTGAAGGACAGTTGCCTTTGGTGTGTGGCCAGCTTCCAATGTACATAGAAAGAATCCCACATTTGGTTCAATCTTCAACTCTGGTTCCTGGACTTGAACTTGTGGCCTGCCATGCTGCCTGCCGATCTTGAGATTGTTCCGTTTTACCTGCTGATTTTGGATTCATTGGCCTCAGCAACCAGCAGCTATGTGAATCAGAAAAAGCCTGCAGCTTGCTCCAGTGGGCCTGGAAGGCAGAGCTGAAGCCCATGGTCAAGAGATCTACACCCAGCCCCTAGAGCTGGCACTCCAAATTCAGACTTCTAGCCTCCTGAAATAAATTTCTGTTTGTTGAAGCCATCCACTTGTGGTATTTCTGTCATAGCAGCACTAGAGAACCAAGACACCAACAATTGACAATTATGTTTTATCTTAAAAGTTCAAAGAACTATGCAATTTTCTGACGATACATTTAGGACTTACCACATCAAACATGCAGACTCCTTGGTATGTTGCCTGTTATTTTTATGTGCTGTCAAGTCAATTTGCAACTTATAGAGACTTTGTATGACAGAGAAGAACTACTCACAGGGTTTTCTGGGTTGTAATCTTTTCAGGAGAAGATTGCCATACTCTCTTCCACAGATTCTCTGGACAAGCTCTAGATGTCAACCTTTTGGTTGGCAGTCTAAAGTTTAACCATTGTACCACCAGGGCACTTGGCATGGTGCCTTCTATATAGTAAATGTTCATCTAGCAAATGTTCATTGTGGTAGTAATAGTAATAATTATTTTGATTCCTCCAATATGATGAAAAGCAGCACTAAGAATTCAAATCATAGTAAGTACTGAAATGTGATTAATATAATAAGAAAGACAGAAAACAGTCTAAGTACATGCTTAGCCAGAGATAAAAACAGAAAACGCTTTAAGTATAATTTCAATCTTAAGGGCCTAAACTGTCTGACTTCTTCTGAATTACCCAAATCTTAAAATTAAATTCTATTCACTCATTTTATATATATATATATATATATA